TATGCAAATAAAATGATATTCAATACCATTAGGCATTGGTAAAATGCAAACTAAAACCTCAGTCACATACCACCACAAATATACACACGCCAGAGTGTCTAAAATTTTTTAAACTGATGGTATCAACTTGCCAAAAATGTGGAGTCACTGGAACTTTCTTTCACTGCTCAGGGGAATACAAAATAGTATAGCTACTTTATAAAGTTGGCTGATAGTTTTTGATTGAGTTGGCCATGTACTTACCATATGATCCAGAAAGCCCACTCCTATACCGTGACTTAAGAGGAATGAAAACGTGAATCCATGCAAAGACTTCTACACAAACGTTTATAGCAAGCTACATTCATGATAATAAAAAAACATGAACGCAATCTCCATCAGTGGGTAGACAATTACAGAAGATAGATGCAATAAAAACATTTCAGCAATAAATATTAAAAACTAATAGTTTAATGAAACAACATGGGTTTTCTCAAAGATGTTAGGTGAGTGAAAGAAGGCATTTGCTCGTGATTACATACTGATGGTTCCATGTATGTAAATCCCCAAAGCATGATTCATTTGGTAAAGGCAAACATGTAAGGGCTAGAAATCAGACTGTTAGCTTCCAAAGGTCAGAGTAAAAGGAGAAGCAAAGGAGCACAAGGAAACTTTTTGGATGATGGAAATGTTCATTTTGATTGTGGTGTTGGCAAATAGCTGTATCTGTTAAAATTGGTGAATTAGACGTTATATAAACGATGCCTCAATAAATATAATTCTTTTTAATCAAATGCATAATCCACTTGCTGGATCACAGTGGCTTTGACAGTAAAGACAGGCTGCTGCGAACAAGACTGATACTCCTAAAATCTATTGGGAGGAAATGGTGTATAGCTGTTTCCCGGGGACTGGACAGGAGCGTGGAAGAGAAAAGCCCGGAACTGCATCCTGTTAAGGCTTATCCAAGAGCGCCACCTGGAGGGAAGATGAGACCTCAGCAGCAAGAAGTGGCAGCCTGGGCTGCCTGTCACCTGGGAGGGGTCAGCTGCCGTGGCGCCCACACCAAGGGCCTGGGGGTGACAGACCCAGATAATGGTGTGGCCAGGGGATTTCGGAAGAACTTAGGAAAAAGCCCCGCTGAGTGGGGAGTCAGCTTTATACACCCCCCAAGCCCCAGCGATTTGTGCCAGTGCACACAGTACCAGTCAGAATTAAGATCTCTTCCCTTCCCTTCTTCTCCTCCTCCACAGCAACCTGTCTGTTGAGGCTGTTCCTGACTTGCTCAAAATCAAAACCCCTGTGGTGCTTTAAGCTATTGGAAGTGATTTTCTTTTTTACTAACATTTTGGTCACATCACACAGAGAATCACTTTGCAAGGTAAAGTCAAACCTTCTACCCCCACCATGCTGCATTACCTTCAGCCTGACAGTAATCAATCAAATCCCAGTTCAGAGGGAGCCTGGAGAAAGGCTTACTTACCCCTCACCACATGCACCTCCAGAGAGATGATGAGCAGGGACAGCCCGCCTCTGGCCACTCCGACTCCTCACCACCCCCCAGCACGTTTGTTGGAGAGGGAGTCAGCACACCTGTGAGGGCTGAGTAATCCCAAGACTCGGCTGCTCAGGACAGTCACGTGGGGAGCTTTCAGCGCCATGGTGATGGAGGCGCATGTCCAGGGAGGGGCCGGCATGTTGATATCACTTTAAAATCCTTGAGGTTCCAGTGCAGAAACCTCTGAGCTAGCAGGTTGGACTGGCAGTGGTGTGCTCAGGCTCGTCCTCACACACGGAAAGCCTGCGACACCCGTTTTAAAAATACTGATCAATCTCCAACCTTAAGACTGGTTCGATTATTTTATTGGCCTGACTGGGGGTGGGGTGTGTGTAAGTTTGCCAGGTGATTCTAATGTGCAGCAAAAACGAAGAGAATAAATGAATGAGGAAATGAGAAAATGAACACAAGAGCCAATGCACTTAGTCGTGCCCTTCAGACCAAGAGCTGGTAGTGTGTGTGCACACGCGTGTGTGTGTGTGTGTGTGTGTGAGAGAGAGAGAGAGAGAGAGAGAGTGGTGCTGGGGGACTGCCCATAGCATTTTAGCATTGCAGATTGAGCCCTACAGAACTGAGAAGGAACTCATGTTTTTGGAGAGACCCCTCGTACCAGGCACCAGCCTAAATGTTTTAAATGTATTTCCTTGTTGAATCTGAACAACAGCCCAGGATGAGTAAATAACGTTGCCCTGAGTTTATAGAAGTGGAGTTGAGACTCTGAGAGGTTAAAAGACTTGTTTGTGGTCACACGGTAAATGCGGGGCAGAAACTGGAGGGGACCCAGGTCTCCTGAAGCCCTTGCCATTCCCCAGCCCACTGAAGTGACTGGCTCCCCTGCCCCGGGAGCCACCTTGGTCAGACCTCTTGTTCCCCCCAGAGCCTGGCTGGCATCTAACCAGAGCTCAGCCTATCGGCATCACTGGGAATGGCGGTGTTGTGCAACCACCCCAAGACAGGCAGGTTCACGGTAGATTTGGGCAAAGGGAGAAGGATTCTGGACAACATGAAAGCCGGGAGGAAAGCAAAGCTGCAGGTGGCGGTTACAGAGGCCGGAAGTAGAAGAGGCGAAAAGCCTGAGTTCTTCCATATTCCTTCCGCTGGGGATGGGTTTGGGAGGGCAGTGCTATCCAGACCCAGAGTTATGGGAACAAGAAAGACACCACAAGGAAAGGTCCCTGGGGCCCAGTCCGTGGAGGTCTTAGTCCCAAAGAGCTTGTCAGCACCCAGGCCAAGAGCAGGAGAATGTGGCTGGGCAGGGTCAACCTATCAAGTCTGCTGGACAACAGGAGCCAAAGCAGGAGCTAAGGGTGACGGGAGCGGTTCAGGGACAGCTCCCACGGCCTCCTCCTGGGAGAGGATGCCCTTCATTCTCTGAGTATGACCTCCCCACACGTGTTAATAGAAGTGAAGTCAAATTATTTCATGAAGTGAGAGCAGATGGTAATTGCAATTTCTCCCCTCAACCCCATCACCCCTGTCAAAACAAAGACCTTTGCAGGTATGGCCATTTGGTTTGCTTTGTGTTGGTCCAAGAACTCAGAAAACCTGGTAACCAAGTTTCCCAGGTGGGTGGGGGAGGCATAAAGCAATCTGTAGTGAGCTGAGGCAGCAGAGACAGCAGGCGAGCATGATTTTTGGTAGATCAGGGCCACTCCGCCAGGTAATGCCTGAGAGTCAGGAAGCAGGAGGTGAAAATAGGGGTGCCCTAAACATCTCTTTGAGTACTGGTTCTGTCTGCAAAACCCCTCCAGCAGTGACCCCAACATCCACCTTCTGTGCCCACAGCCCAATCACAGACTCCCGGTCCCCAGCTCAGACCCCCAAAGTCAGGATGCGGGGTGCATTTTCACAACCAGTCCAGCCAGGCAACCAACATCTGGTTAAGACACAGAGTGTGACCAGCATCCCTGAAGCCTTCCGTGCTCCTCCAGCCACGACCTAATTGCTAAGGACAGAGACTGTTTTGCCTGACCTTGGACATCATACCAATAGAAAGTTCCCTGGACTCTCTTGTCTGGCTTCTTTCACTCATCATTGTCTCTGCGAGCGCCTAGATTCTCACCACTACTGCAGACTCCTCTGCAGACATTCGCCTCTGCAGTGCCTTCCATGTGTGTCCCGCCACTCCACTGACAAGGTGTGTGTGCAGTTTCCAACTTGGGACTGTTCTGATTAGTACAGCTAAGAACGTTCCAATAGGTGTCTGTTAGGTATACATTGGCATTTTTTTAAAAGATACATTTATTTATGCATACAGAACCGGGGTACAGGCCAGAGATGCAGGGGCGGTGAGAGGATTCACCAGAGACAGAGTGGGGAGCAGAACAGGCAGATCAACGAAGCACACCGCTGAGGGGAGCAGTGGGTAGGTCAGGAGAGGTCTGTTGAGCCATGTGGGTCACCTCCAGGGTAGGGATGAACTCATGCTGAAGTGGCTTTAGATTCTTGGTGCTTAGATTCCCGCTGCGCCACCAGGGAGGGCCTACATTGGCATGTCTGAGGACTCAATCCTGTTTAAATGTCACTGAGAAGAATTCAAAAGAGAAGGTGTGAAGCTACAGGAGAGAGAAAAAGGAGAGAGAAATTGGTCCCTGGAGAAGTAGAAGGGGCTGGGGTCAGAAACAGGAGATGATTCTTCCATGGCAACAGGTGGGGAAGCGAGTCAGTAATGGGATGGAAGGGGACTCCTGGTGTGGACCTTTACCAGTCTACGTGGACTAGGAAGCAAGATCATCCTCTGAGATGTGAGCTGGAAGGTTCGGGGTAAGAGGCAAGGGAGATGGAGCAGGTCTGAGGTAGTCACAGTAGAGAGTGGTCAGCAGAGAGGTGGCCGGCTTCTGTAGCCAGCCTGGCAGCGCTCTGTGGGGCTGCACAGAGCAAGTCCTCCTGAGTCCCAGCAACCTGGCAACTGTTTCCAGGCCACAGTTCCCTGGCAGTCTGTGGCGCCACCTGCTGGGCAAGAGCCACATGCCGCCCAGGGTGTTCCCTTCACATACGCAGCTGCACCAGAAAAGCCCAGAGGGACCTATCCAGTGACCTCAGCCTGAGCCTTGACTCGCCCCTAGCTGAAGACCCCGGCTGGAGATCACACCAGCTCCTAGTCACACGCTGAGCCCTGATCTAAGTCACAAAATGTAACTAGCCCTAATTCAAACTCCACTGTCACCAGCGTGGGGACCCAAGGCTCCTCTGAAAGAAGGCGCATAGGGTATTCTGGGTCTCAGACCTGTGGTGAGGACCTTGGGACTGGGTGCTGAGCTGTGACACCCAACGCTGTGAGAGCCCCTTGGGCCCTGCTCCCTAAAAGGGCAGGCCCACATGCAGCCTCCTGGCCCTGTGCCCTGCCCAGACCTGTTCTAGATTCCACCACCTCCCTTCCCCAAGGCTGCCTCCACCTCCCACCCACCCGCGCTCAGCGCCTCCTGGGACTCAGCTGGGAAGGCTGGCTGGCTGGCAGGAGGGCATGGAACCCGCGGCAGGGCCTGTGCTCTACCAGAAACTGCAGCTCTGGGAACCAAACTTGGAATATGAGGAGGAGGAGGAGGAAGAGGAGCTGGCAGAGCCTCTTGTTCCCGATCCCTGGACATCTCAGGACTCCTCTGGGTGAGTCAAGAAGGGTCGTGGCTCTGCAGGTCTGAGGCTGGCTAGTTGCCCTCTCGGAGCCTTATAGGGAGCCAGACATCCCGGTCCTTGGCTCGGCTCTAGGAACTTTCGGGTCGAATGTGGGGAACATGGGACAGGGTCCCAGATCTGGCCTGTGCCACTCACCCCAAGGTCAGTGTGTCCGAAGGTACATCTGTACCAAATCAGCACTGAAGGTCTTTCTGTCAAAGGTTCCCAGGCCCCGCCCCCTGGTGCAAGAGGCACCTGCCAGGCAGGTTGGCTATTCCTGGCTGGGCTCTGCTCCTCAAGACTGTCAAGGCCCCTCAGGCCACCCCTCCCAGCTAAGTCAGCCCTGCCTCTCCGAGCTCCTCTCGGAGTCCCTCCCTAGCCAAGCCTTGGTTCTCCACGCTCTTCTCCATCTCTGTTATCTCCATCCATGCCAAGCACTCTGGGGAGGCCCTGTCGCCTTGGAAAGTTTAAAGGCTCCTCCTGCAATCCGAACCTTTGGGGAACTAGTCCCTGAATGCTCCTCAGGATTGTGGGTGTCCCCCTGTCCCCCTGGCTCAGGATGCAACTTTCTGCAGGAACGAGGTTGGTGGTCGGCCTGGGGCCTGGGCCCAACTAGTTGCTGCCCTGCTGCTGCTGGCCGTTGGCTTCTCCCTGGCTGTGACCCAACTTCAAGCCAGGGGCAGCTCTCCAGGAACCTCGGGCTCTGTAGCTCCACCACCCAGTGGGCACTCCCACCGCCTGGGCGTATACCACCACAGTGCCATCATCAGCCCTGCAGGTCAGTGCTGGAGCAGCTTGGGGGGAGGGGAAGGGCCAGGTAGCTGGTCCCAGTCCCCTCCCCAAGACAACCCCTTCCTTGCTGCAGCCACGTGCTCCCACCAGGGCCGAGAGCTGCTTGCTGCAGGAGGCAACGTCGTGGACGCCGGAGTTGGAGCAGCCTTGTGTCTGGCAGTGGTGCATCCTCACGCCACAGGGCTAGGTCAGTGACCCATGACCCTAGACAGCAACCTAAGCGCAGGCCTGGTCAATGACCAGAATGTGGAGAGTGGCCCTGACCTCAAGGCTGAGGACCCCACGCTTTGAGCAATAGCCCCAACCCTAGGCTGCAACCCTTAATCCCAGGCCCATGTGATCTGGCCCCCAGGTCTGGTTACTGACCCAGGTCTCCAGGCCTCGTCAGTAGCTACAGCTCCCAGGCTAACACAGTGACCCTTCACCTAGTCTGCTGAAACCCCCTGACCCCAGTGTCCCTGACTCTGGTGCAACCCCTTTGTCTCCCTGCCAGGTGCCACGTTCTGGGGCCTCTTCCACAATGGCTCCTCGGGCAATTCAACTGCCCTGACGCCCGGCCCTGTGCAGACCCTAACCCCCAGCCTGGGGCTTCCCTCGGCTCTGCCTGCCCTGCGCTTGCTGCACACACGCTTCGGCCACCTGCCTTGGTCACGCCTGCTGGTGGGCCCCATCACACTGGCTCAAGAGGGCTTCGTGGTGGATGCATCCCTGGCTAGAGCGCTGGAAGCCCAGGGTACAGAGGGCCTCTGTCCATTTCTTTGCCATGCCGATGGGACACCACTGGGTCGCGGGGCCCGAGCCATCAACCAAAAACTGGCAGCCATGCTCCGCAGGGCCGCACGCACCCCCACACCAGAACTTGCAGGGGATGCTCTACTGAATCTGCTGGCCAAAGATTTGAAGTTGGAAAGACCCTTGGCAGAGCCCATGCCCACACTGGAGCCAGCACTGCAGTTACATGTGCCCCAGGGCGTCCTGTACACCACGCCCAGCCCCTCAGCTGGCCCAGAACTGCTGACACTGCTGGAGGCAGCCCTACACTCAGGAGGGCCCAGCCCTGACTCCTGCTTACCACAAGCTCCTGAGCCCCCTGGCAGCAGTGTCCTGGCCACTGTGGACAGCAGTGGCTCTGTGCTCCTTCTCACCTCCTCACTGAACAGCTCCTTTGGCTCTAGACACCTATCCCCAAGCACTGGGGTTCTGCTCAGCAACCTGGTAGCCAAGTCTGCGACTAGTGCCTGGGCCTACCCCCTCATTCTTCGTGACAGCCTGGATGACACAGAGGCTGATGTGTTTGGGCTTGTGGCTGCTGGGAGCTCTGCAGTGGCCAGCATCATGACTCATACCTTTCTCAGCCACTTGGCTGCACCCCAAGCTGAGGTCCAGCACCAGCACGAACACCAGCACCTGCAAGGACCAACAGGAAACACCAGCACCTGTGGCCAGGGAACCCTGCTCCAGGTGTCAGCCCATGCAGAGCACGCCCATGTCTCCAGTATCCCCAAAGACTGCTGCTCCTTCCAGGGGTTCTAAGGTGGGGGAGTATCTGTCAGGGGAGTCTCAAGCCTTGCAGGCAGGCCCAGAGCAGGCCCGGCAGTGATGTCGCATATAAACAGTGCGCAAGGGTATGTGCTCACCAGTGGCTCTGGCTTTCAACCTCTGACCTGGTCAGTTGCATGGACTCTGGCTCCCTACCCTCCCCCCCCCCCAAGGGACTGAGAATGGGGAGGAAGGAACTCCAGGGCCTGGGCCAGCCCTGAGTTCAGCTGGAACACCTGGATGACCAGGTAGAAGGCTAAGCCCCTGCCTTGGCTCTGGGTTCCAAGTGGCAGGACAGGCAGGGCTTGGGGTATGGCTGGCAGCTCCATCCTTCATCCTTCCCTCCAGGCTGATTTCCCTCTGCTGATCTGCCTCATATGGGCTAGACTAAATAAAGATCCAATCTTCTGGATGCCATTCCTGCTTCTTGGTTATTTTTTTGTGAGACTTTGCAGCTGGTGTCAGGGTGTCCCCCAAGCACAGCATAGGAGACCCAGCTCCCCTCCATACTTCCCCATTCACTTTCTGCTTCCTGAGGCTCTGTTTAGGAGATAAACCCCCTAGTCACTCTCTAAAATAGACTACAAGGCATAAGAGGTTGAAAGAAAAGGAGGTTCCCCAGGGGCCAGGGCATGGGTGCTGGGTCCTCGTGTGTGGAATTTAAAAGCCAGGGTTGGCTTGACCTGCCCCTTGCAGAGGGCTGGGTCACCAGGGATACAACCCTCCAGAGGCAAGTTCTCAAGCCAAGAAGCTGGCCCAGCCCCACACTGGCACCTTGCAAAAGGTACCTGATTGTAATAGAACTCTGGGCCCCATCTTTTACTATTGCAAAAAATATCAGATTTAATGGAACTCTTGATCCACTACCTCCACCATCCCTCCAACACTCCCCAGCCCGGTAAATGGTACCACAGTGTACCCAGTTACTTTAGCCCCAAACCTAGCAACCCCTCTTTCTTCCTCTCCCCCAGGGGCATCCCTCACAGGTGCACGAGCCCCAATCTGGCTTGTCCTCAGTCACCTGTCCAACCCACCGTTACCTCCGAATGGCCTTCCCCGTTCCTCCTTTGCACTCCCACAGTCCATTCTCCACACGGCAGTCAGAAAAGGCGGCCCAGGTTTTCCCCTGCAAAAAACCCGTAGTGACTTCCCATCACACGAATATTAAAATCCAAACTTCAGACTGTCGCTAGGAAGAGCAGAAGCGGCCCTGCGCCGGGCCCCTCCCCGAGGCCCCGCCTCCCGGGGCCCCGCCCCCAGAGGCCACGCCCCCTGTCAGCCCCACACAGGGCGCCTGCGCGCCTGCGCCGCGACCTGACCTGGAAGAGGCCGTCTTCGGAGCCCACGTGTCTGTGGAGCATGGCGGAGATGGAGAGCCCCGACCCCTCGGAGCCCCTGGCTCCCCGAGCGGAGGCGAAAACCAGCGGCGGGCCTGCCGATCGCCATGACCTGCTGAAACACAGCCGCGAGTTCTTGGACTTCTTCTGGGACATCGCGAAGCCACAGCAAGAGACGCGACTTGAGGCCACGGAGAAGCTGCTGGAGTATCTGCGCACCAAGCCGGAGGTAGGGTGGCGGGCCCTGGGGTGGCGGCTGGCGTGATCCGGCCGAGATGCGGCGGCGGGCCGCAAGGGTTGGGGCTCGGAGCATGTGGTCGTTCACCTGAATGGCCTGGTGAGCCCGGACCGAAGAACTGAGGTGGGCGGGAGCCCGACGATCCTTCTCAGTGTTAACTGGTGGGGTTGGGTGCGCTTGGTTCCGCAGGGATCCGAGATGAAGTACGCCCTGAAGCGCCTAATCACTGGGCTGGGGGTCGGGCGAGAAACGGCCCGGCCCTGCTACAGTCTGGCCCTGGCTCAGGTGAGGTGGCACAGGTGGTCCCTGGAAGGGCCCCAGCCGTACTGGTCATAATGTTGGGGGGCGAGGACAGATGTCTCAGCTGCAGGGCAAGGGGCTGAGGACTGGGGAAAGCTGGGGTCGAGGGGGGGGGGGAAACGTTGATACCTGATCTGATGGTTGCCCACCTTACAAGGAGGTAGAGAATCCCAGACTGAGAGGTTGGGAAAGTTTTCTCTCTGGTACTTGAATTTACCAGCCTCTTACTGGTAATAATCTTTGGAGTCAGCTCCCTTACTGATGGGACGTTCAGTTGAACACGCAGCTCATCACAGGCCATGTCTAAAGAGATGGGACAACTGCAAGGCGAGAAAGATCTAGTTCTTTAGGATCAGCCTTGGTCCAACTCAGAGCACAGTGTGGGCTAGTATCTGAGAATCTCAGCTGAGCAGTTATTTGGGCACAGAACTTCCTTTCTGAACCCCGAGTGGATGTGGGGCGGGGAGACAAGACCCCCGCTTGGGCAGCAGGTCCATCATCACCACTGCCCAGAGGCTGGTGAGCAGTGCCAGGGTAGCGGGAACCCAAGGTTTCTTGGCAGAAGCTGAAGGGAGAGAGGGGGTAGGGAGGTTGAGTTGTGCCCCTGATACCCTGTCTCTCTTCTCCCTCAACTCCTGGCAGCTGTTACAGTCTTTTGAAGATATCCCCCTAGGCAGCATCTTGGAGCAGATACAAGAGAAGTATGATGTGCAGAAGGTGAAGAAGGTGAGAGTGGTGACCCTGGGGAGTGGAGAGGCAGGGGGGAGTGCCCTGGGCCCTTCTCACGGTGCCTGGCATCCTTTTCTAGGCAATGATAAGACCTGCTCTCTTTGCAAACCTGTTTGGGGTGCTAGCACTCTTCCAGTCAGGCAGACTGGTGAAGGTAAGAGCTTTAGGGGTACACAGGGTTTGGGGACAGGCGTGGGAATGGGAGGCACATGCCCTACTCTGTCTCTCTGTGGGTACCAGGACCAGGAGGCGCTGATGAAATCAGTGAAGCTGCTGCAAGCCTTGGGCCAGCACTCCAACCACTTGCAGGAGCAACCCCAGAAGGCCCTGGTGGACATCCTCTCCGAGGTATGGGCTCACCTGCTATGGGGCCTCTGGCTGTGCTTCTTGTTACATAAATGTGGGGACCGAGCAGCTTCATGTTCTAGAGCAGCACTGTCCCTCAGAACTATATAAGCCAGCTTCGGCGATACTGTGGGTTGGGTTGCAGGCCAGCACGATAAAACTAGCCACGTGAACTTTTTTGGTTCACCAGTACGGAGATGTTTGAGTGGTGTGTAGTCTGTTAATGTCATGGCTGCTAATGCAGTGGCTGCTGTCTAATGGAAGCCAATGTGTGTGCCTTACGTAAAAATATTTCATTGCTAAAAATGCTAACCATCACAAGAGCCCTCAGCCCTGTCGGGGCCACCACTGCTCAACTTGGATATGGAGGTAGGCTGAGGGGGGCTGACCAGGCCCTGTCCCCTGCTGATAGAGGGTTTTATAAAAATGCAGAGTGCGTGGCACAGCAGAGTGAAGGGCAGTAAAAAAGATGTCCATCCATCAGTATGTAACTTGCCATTTCTTACTAACTGCATTTAAAAGGCAAAAGAAGCATAACTTAGTAACTAGTATCTAAAATATTGTTGAAGAATGGAGTTAGTGGAAAAGTTGTCAAATAGTTTATTTTCTGCATGTGTGAAAGCTCGCAAGTCCAGTGTGTGTTTGCATTTAGAGCCCGCCTCCATCCCGATTAGCCACACTGCAAGTGTGGGTGGCCAGTGCTGCCGTATTAGACACTGCAGTTCTCGAAAAGTACCTGGCGTGCGGGAAGCATATTAAACGTGTTTACCATTGTGATTTGGGGCAGACGTCCCTGTCGGGGCCACCACTGCTCAACTTGGATATGGAGGTAGACTGAGGGGAGCTGACCAGGCCCTGTCCCCGGAGCCAGAAGGACCTGAATTTGAATCCCAGCTCTCAGGACTCTTTGTATAAGAAATAACTAATCCTCTAGAAAACCCTGGAAAGGAATGACTAAAAGAGTAGTTCCTAGTCAGTGGGATGAGTGTTCCTCGCACTTGGGGGCTGAGTTTTTTAACAAGTGCTCGCTCCCACCTAGCCAGGGGGGTTGACTGTCCTACCTCACACCGGCGCTGCTGGGGGCTCATAGGAGTCTGGTGAGTGGAATGCAGCCCAGAAGGAGTCACATTGCAGAAGATCCTGCAGAAGATCCTCACCCTGTCTCCCCACCCAGGCCCCAGAAGCCACGTTGCAGAAGATCCTGCCCAGTGTCCTTAAGGCCGACTTGGATTGGGTGCTTGGCTCCCCCGAGCATCTGGAGCTCTTCCTCTTGGCCCAGCGGAAGGTGCCCGCAAGGCTGGAGAAGCTGATGGGCCCGGTCAACCTGTTCTCGCCTGAGAACGTCCCCAGGTTGGAGGGAGGTGACGGGCTGGCTCTTCTGGGAACACAATGCTGCATCTGGCCATCCACAGATTGGCAGTAGCCCCTGGGTATCCCTGCAGCCCGCCCGGCCCGCTAGGCCTCATGTGCTAGGTGGCTGCCCCATGAGCCCCCTGCACCTCCCCCCCAGACTGGTGAACGTGCTGAAGATGGCTGCCACCTATGTGAAGAAGGAGCACAAGTTGCCCGCCTTGGCTCTGGACCTGCTCCGCCTGGCGCTTCAAGAGGACGCGTTCCCTCGGTTCTGGAAGGAAGTGGTGGAGCAAGGGCTACTGAAGAAACAGCAGTGGCCAACCAGGTACACGGTGCTTGTCCTCTCTCACGCATCTGATACATGGAGATGGGCCTGTGATCCTGGGGGTCACCCACAGGAACGAGGCCTCTGACCAGGCCCTGTCCCAACCCCCTTAGCTTCATGTGCTTCCGCCTGCTGGGCGCCGCCTTGCCCCTGCTGTCCAAGGAGCAGCTGCAGCTGGTGATGCGGGGAGATGTGATCCGACTTTTTGGGGAGCATATGGTCACTGGTAAGGTGGGTACCGCCAGGGTGAGGCAGCAGACCTGTTTCCTAGGAAGGAAGGCAGGCTGCCTCGGGGATCAGCCAAGTTCTGGAGAAGAGGGCTGCTCTGTATTGCTGGCTGGGATGGGCAGGCACCGCTGCTGGAGGACAGGTGGATGTCCAGGTCCACCCGCCCTCTGGGTGACTGGCCTGTCTGAGTCTCCCCACCTCGTCCATCCTCTCTGAAAGGAGCTTTGGCAAAGCCTGCCTTTCTGCCCACGGGCCCCTCGGCAGAGGCACGTCCACCTGGCGGTGTGTCCAGCCTCCCTCCCTCGCCCGGGCCAGTGTTACTTCTAGGGGTGTAGTCACGACCAGTGTTGTGAGCACTGTCCCTGCGCCCCACCCTAGGCTAAGTGCTGGTCACAGGAATCAAGGGTGGTTAAAGCACAGAACCTGGGTTCCAGCCCTGACTCCACCTGCAGGTCGCGTCCCTTCCCGAGCTTGCGCCTCTCTGTGAGTCGGGAGCAGTGCCCGCCCGGCGTTGCTGTGAGGGTACCCTGCCATCCACCCAGCTCATGAAGCAGCACCAGCCTGCAGGAAGGGCTGCCGGGTCAGCCCTCTCACCCGCTCGTTTCGCCTTCCCGCTGGCCGCCGCGAGCCGTCATTCCCCTTGTAGATGAGGGATAGGCAGAAAGTCCTGCGTGGAGGTCAAGAGTAGGGGCGCAATATTTGTTGCCATACAGAAACAGGTAGCAAGCGACCTGGCATGTGAGAGGTTTAGGTTCTGAAGCCCAGGGTAGCCCAGGCTGGACTGAGCCACCACCCTGCCTGCCTGCAGCCTAGAAAAGAGCCTGGCCTCGTCCAGCTGGATGTCAGAAGGAAGGTCTTCCAGCAGCGTGGCAGCGGGAGGGCCCCTCTGGTGCGAGATAGAACCACTGGGGCAGCAGGTGGCGGGGGAGGACTAACCGCCTAGGCCTCGCTTCAACCTGTGGGGCTGTTGGACCCTCTGGACTAGTGACCCCAGCACCACACCCTCCTCTTGCAGTTGCCAAACAAGTCCAAGTTCGGTGCCGAGATGAATGAGTACGTGAGTGCCTTCCTGCAAGGCTGTCCGGATGACCCCGAGCGCCAGCTGGCCGCAGTGGTGGCCTTCACGTCCGTCACCAACCAGGGCCTCCCTGTCATGCCCACCTACTGGCGCGTGGTGCAGTTCCTGAGTGCCCCTGCCCTCAGGGGCTATGTGGCATGGCTGCGGGACATGTTTCTGCAGCCTGATCTGGACTCCTTGGTGGACTTCAGCACCAACAATCAGAAGAAGACCCAGGACGCTTCCCTGCACAGGTGATTGGGGAGCAGGCTCAGGACCTCAGGGGCCGGCTTTCTGGGCCTGCGAGACTAAGGCCCTGACTTCCCGGTTTTCATGGTTCCAAACCAGGGTGGGAGTGGAGGGCCGGCGGGTGGGAGGAGCCATAACTGCCGAAGAAGGCCTGTTGGCTCGGGCGCGGGTCCCACTAGTGAGAAGGGGCGAGGAGATCCTGCTTGTCCTGTCTCCAGGATGAGGCAGTGGAGGATGTTTTTGCCCCCTTGAAATGACTTCTACCACCCCCAGGCCCGCGCGAGTGGTGTTCCGGCTCCAGAAGTGGATTATCTTTCGCCTGGTCAGCATCGTGGACAATTTGCACTCAGAGAAGGAAGAGGCCTTAATTGAGGAGGTGGCCAGGTGTGAGCCATGCTGAAGCCCCAACTCCTTCGGGGTGGGATGGCCAAAAAAATTGAGCTTCTTGCCCAGCCCGCCTTCGGGTCCCCCAAGCCAGAAGCCGTCAGATCAAGCCATCGGTAGGGAGCAGACGAGCGGGCCCCCCCCAGGCTGGGGCCACGCCTTTGCAGGGAAGCCTTTGCTTAGCACAGCCTCGTCGCGGGCCCAACATGGGGAGCCGTCTTGGTACCAGCAGAGTTGTGGCCACCGAGACCACACAGCCGCAAATCAATCTTGTTCCGAGGGTGGGTGGGTGGGGGACTGATTCTCCCTGCCCGGTTTGTGCCCAGCTGTACGCAGCTGGGGGTCCAGCCCTGAGCAGCGTAGTGTCCTTTGCCTCTCATCATCACCAGAGTGCTTCCCTCCTCCTGGCACCAGACCCTCAGTGATACTACCCAAGGAGGGTAGAGAGCTGGCACTGATGAGGCGATGCTGGGTCTTCTCCCTCCCACTCCAGGTTTTGTTTTTTCCACTCGTTCTTCGAAACAAAGAAGCCCGTGTCCCAGATCCCAGAGACTGAACATCAGTTCTCCTTCCCTTTGGAGAGCCAGACCCGAGAGGTGGTTAGCAGTGCCTTCTTCAGGTGGGCGCGGCACTTCGGGAGCGGGCTGAGGGTGGCCGAGCAGGTTGGGCCACGGAGCAGCGTCTGCTCCCCACCGCTAAACTGGGTGAAGCTGCAGAGGCCCCGTGAGTTCCGGGGCTGGAGGTGGCAGTGGCAGTGGGGGTCCACGGGGCACTGGCCCAGCTCATGACCCCCACCCCCACCTTTCCCCAGCCTGCTGCAGACCCTCAGCACACAGTCCAGGCAGACGCCAGACCAGACCCAGGACAGGAGGCCCTGGACCTACCGCCTGGCACAGTTTGCAGACCTGCTGTTGAACCACAGCCGCAACGTGACCGCCCTGACACCCTTCACTAAGCCGCAGCGCGAGGCCTGGGACCGGTGAGGGGATTTCCAGAAAATGGGGGGGGCGCTCCAGGGCCTACCGCTGGCAGCAGTGACCTAAGAACATGCCCATCTCACCACAGGATGCTGCAGACGCTTAAGGAACTGGAGGCCCGCTCCTCGGAGGCCAAGGCCAGGGCCACTGCCTTCCAGCACCTCCTACTCCTGGTGGGCATCCACCTCTTCAAGGTACGGCAGCCTGCCAGGGCGGGGTTGTGGGCCTGGGATCTGAGTGTGAGAGGCTTCCCTCCGAGGCTTGCGGGGCCTGGGGTAGCCAAGGAAGCCTTGGAGAGGAGGAATTGCCGGGTTCCTAAGCGAACTGGTCCCAGGTGGAATTACAGCTGAAGAAAAAGTCACTCCATCCACAGTGCAGCCTAACCCAGGCCCTGAGCTAGATTCAGACCACGGAGCGCAGGTCAGGGTGTGTCAGGCCCCTGGGGAAGAGGGGCCGGAGAACGAGGGGTAAAGGTGGCCAGGGCCTTGCGCTTCATTCTCCCACCCTGGCCTGAGCCTTGGCCCGGCTCTGCACGTGCACGATGCCACCATGGGTCATGCAGGGTGGTCTCAGGAAACTCCAGCGCACTGGTTGGTGACGGGAGCCTGGGCTTATCCCCGGCAGATTGGGTTTGAGCTGGCTTAGATTTAATGGGTTAAGTTAAATAAAACCAGGGATTTTTTCAGTTTTTTCTCTGTATCATCAAGCCAGATGTGTAGAGAGTAATCTAGAAATTTACGTCGAGAGGCAGGACGTAAATTGGCTTCTGTGAAGCAGCTTTGCCGGGCTCCCTCCGCTCTGGATACCCAGGGAGGAGTAGGGCTCTGGTTTTCCTGGGCGCTCTCCCAGCCTGATGCCATGAGCTGTCGGGCTGCCCTGGGACCCAGCCGGGGGTCCTGCTTTCAGGACTGCAGGGTGACACTGGAGGGTGGAGTGTTCCAGGCCTCTGATTGCCACTGTTCCTAACTGGCCGGCCACTCCCCTGATCTCTGCCCACAGTCCCCTGAGGAGAGCTGTGACCTCCTCAGCGACATCCAGACCTGCATCAAGAAGAGCCTGGGGGAAAACGCCCGCCAGACCCGCTCCAAGGCCACCAGTGGGTTACTGCCCGGGGGGGAGGTGTGGGTAGGACACCCTGCCGCAGCAGGACCCCAGGATGGGGGTTGCTGCCGTGCTGGGCTCAGCCTTCTCCCTGCTTGCAGACACCCAGGAGCCACCATGGGTGGAGGTGCTGGTGGAGATCCTGCTGGCCCTGCTGGCCCAGCCCAGCCACCTGATACGCCAAGTGGCCCGGACCATGTTCACCCACATCTGCTCCCATCTGACTCTGCGTGGCCTGCAGCTAATCCTGGATGTAAGTTTGGGGACCATGGAGGGGCGAATCCCAGGGTGGTGGGTATTCTCCAGGCCCAGGTCCGCTAGCCAGCCCCATGAACCCCTTGGCCCCTTGCTGTCATCTGCATAATGGGGGTGGGGGCAGCCTTCCTCAAACTCCGCTGCTGTGCAGAGCAGGCCTGTTGCAGGTGAGGCCAGAGCAGGAGGGAGAATTCGTCAGGTGACCGAGGAGGCGCCGGCCCGTGCTCTGGAGGGCATGGCCTGTGGCCAAGAGTGGATGGGACATGGTCGGGGGAGGCAGGTAGGGAGGACCCATGGTCTAAGGAGGACAAAGGGACCGCGCCAGCAGATGAGTCACTGTCTGGGAATCTCCCACAGGTGCTGAACCCCGAGAAGAACCAGGGAGAGGATGGGGATGATAACGTGGTGGTCACAGATGATTCCAGGCAACCAAAGGGCATAGAGGTACTGGCCGGTAAGGGGCAGGGCAGGGTGGACAGACACTCGGTGGCAAGGGGGCGGTGACACGCCTGCCACCCTCAGGACCTGAGTGAGGACAGCGAGGACGACGAAAAAGCAGAGAGTGAAAAGGAGAGTGACGAGGAGGAGAGTGACGAGGAGGACTTGGATGGGGACGTGGACGAGGGCTTCCGGGAGCAGCTGATGGCGGTGCTGCAGTCGGGAAAGGCGCTGGTGAGTCGGGCTGGGGAGGGCTCCCACGCCTGTCTGCGCCAGCCCGTGAGGCCAGGCGGCTCACTGCCCCTCTGCGCCCCAGGGAGGAGAGGACAGTGAGGCAGAGGAGGAGCTGGACGACGAGGCTATGATGGCCCTGGACCAGAGCCTCTCAAGCCTCTTCGCCGAGCAGAAGCTGCGCATCCAGGCCCGGAAGGACGAGAAGAGCAAGCTGCAGAAGGAGAAGGTGCTCCGGCGGGACTTCCAGATCCGGGTGAGCCTGGAGACCGCCCAGCCAGCAGCCGCCTCCCACCCTGCCACCTCCCTCTGCGCGAGCGCATGCCTACCTGAGCCCACCTGTCCCGGCCACAGGTCCTGGACCTGGTCGAGGTGCTCGTGAACAAGCAGCCGGAGAACCCCTTGGTCCTGGAGCTGCTCGAGCCGCTGCTGGGCATCATCCAGCGCAGCATGCGCACCAGCAGCACGCAGCAGGAGCAGGACCTCCTGCGCAAGACCGCCCGGATCTTCACGTGAGCGCGGCGCCCCGCCTGACGCCCCGAGGCGTCCAGCGGCTTTGGGGGCTCCCAGCGAGACGGGGTGGAAACCAGGGTCCCAGGGAGAGCCCACTGGGCTCCACAGGCTCACTGCTCCACGACAGGGTCCCACGTCCTGCCCTGACTCACACGAGCCCCCGAGTCTTGGACCGCTTTCCAGCGCCAGGCCCATCGCCGCCTGGACCACGGCAGCCTGGAAGCCAGAGCAGTCACCCGGCAGTGGGGTGGTAGGGCTGTGGTGGGGGGCTGGGTAGAACAGGACACTTCGGTCTTGCGGCACCTGGGAGGGCTCCACCAGAGTTTCAGTGACGCTGGGAGCTCTGGGCTTCATCAGGCTGGCGGCCACGAGTAGGCAGGAAGGAGAATTCGGGGGGTCCCCTCAGACACGACTGGGCATGAGAGGCCTGTGAGCCCCACCCTGGCAGTGGTGGGGAGACCTGCGATATTTGCAGTAAGAGTGTGGCTAGGGGTGTAGCAGGCGTCGTGGGGAGATCACACAGGTGCAGAACAGGCAGACCTGCCTTCCAGAGCCGCCTTCCAGACGGTCGGGGGTCTCAAGTGCTAGGTATGCAGCATAAAGGGTATGAGGGGTAGTGCGCCCCCAGCTCTTCTCCCATATCAGCCCTATACCTTGTTTTTCTCCCACCGGCATATTGAGGCTGCTGAGTGTCCTTCCTTGTCCCCATCCTGATCCTGCCTTGCAGAGGGCGTGAAAGCCAGTGTCCCGTGAGAGACAGTTGTGGACCGTGTGAAGGGACTTGGCCTGTGGTTCGGCCTTAGTCAGTTTCCTCTTTTTCTCCAGTTGTCTGATTCCCCACCGCGACGTGGGGCACCCATCCCCTCTCTGAGAGTGGACACTGCTTGGCGGGGAACGGGTGGCGGGAACATCAAGACCAGCTCTGCCCCTTATGCTCCACAGGCACAACCTGTGCCGCTCCCGGCATTACTGCCACGGCGTGAGCAACCAGGAGGTGCTGTACCCCCAGGTGGAGAGGCTGGTGCAGCAGGCCAGCCGCCAGGCTGACTCCTCCATCTCCCTCTACTACTTCAATGCCTCGCTCTACTTGCTCCGGGTCTTGAAGGGCAACACCATCCGCAAGACCCAGAAGAAGGAGAAAGCCGGCACGGACGCCAGCTCCAAGCCCCAGGGCGTGGAGGTGAGCAGGCTCAGCCTGGGGCCAGCCACCCCAGATTCCTCGGGACCCAACTTTCAGCCGTGGGGTGCCGCCCCGGCTCTGCCCTGCCCACACTCCTCCCTGCATCACACCTCTCTCACTGACCCAGACTGACTGTGGCTTGGATCTGAGCCTCGTGACCGCCATCTACTCATCAGCTCTGAGCTCCTTCCTGACCAAGCGCAACAGCCCGCTCACCGCCCCCATGTTCCTCAGCCTCTTCGCCCGGCACCCGGTAAGTGGGTGGGCTGGCACTAGCCCGTGGGCCCTGGTTGAGCCCAGTGCCCCTCACAGCCATCATTCCCTCCCTAGGTGCTTTGTAAGACCCTGCTCCCTGTCATAATCCAGTGTGTGACAGGCTCGGTCCGGCCCCGCCACCAGGTAAGGGACTCCAGCCCCCAGCCCCGGGGTTCTGGGTTACCCACCTGGCTCATTGCAGGGTGGGGATCCGAGGCCCAGGAGTGGCGCTCTGTGAGGGTGAGGTGTGCGGGCCAACCCCGCTCCTCTAACCCTGACCGCTGGCGCATGCTCTGTCAGGGAAAGACTGTCCTCTGTTCCCTCTGGCCTGGCCAGCGCCTGCCACATGTAAGCACCGAGCACCTGCACAGATGCGCAGGCAGCCTGAACCCCATAGCCACCCCGTCCGTGAGGCCTGAGCTGGGCTGCTTGGAGCTGGCACTCTGGCCTTGCTGATGGGCAGGCTGCGGGGTGGGGGAGGAGGTGGGAAGGAGGGGGCAAGTGGCCAAAAGATGGCACCGAGCTAGCAAGGCCAGGAACTCCGAGTGCCACACCGGTCCGTGGGAGCCCTAGCTGCCTCCCAGGCCTCAGTTCCCCACCTGCTGATGGCTGGGCCCAGAGTGCCAGGTCCCCATGAGGCTGCCCAGGCCTGAGCCCGGCTTGTGAGGCTCCTGGTGACCACATTTCCCCCACTCCAGGCCCAGGCCTGCCTGCTGCTGCAGAAGACCCTGCCCATGAAGGAGCTAAGACTGTGCTTTGAGGACTCCAAGTGGGAGCAGCTGATCAGCCAGATCCTGGCGAAGGTCACTGAGGTACCAGCACAGACCTCCCCTTTCCACACCCCCATCCGGAGCGGTTCCAAGGAACTGAGGGCTGAAGATTACTGAAATCCTGAGCCTCGGCTGGCTTTGGGGTCCCCCAGGGGCATGTAGGCTGTAAGGCTTGGGGCAGCTCTTCGAGGTGCCTCAGCCGCACCCCTAACCCCTCAGAACCTGCGGGTGCTCGGGAAGGCACAGAGCAAGACGGAGCTTCAGAAGGAGCTGACCTCTCTGGGGCTGCTCAACACTCTCCTCAGGACTGTTAACCAGCAGGTGAGCCCGGGGCTCCAGAGCTCGTTGGGCTGGACAGGGGGTGCTGTGCAAGCAGAGGAGCCAGGCTTGGGGGGTGAGGAGGGCTGTGGGGAAGGTTCTGGGTGCCAGGGTCAGGGATCTGGACTTTTTGTTTGTCGGTTTCATTGGAAAGCCATGATGAAAGCAGCTGGCTTGGAAGGGGAGAGAGCCACGCCTGCCTGGCTGGGGAGAAGGGGAACCCCAGGGGATGTTAGTGCTGTGATCCAGGCAGACAGCTGAGAGGGAGCGGGGAGGGCTGGAGAAGGCTCCGGGCGGACAGTTATTAGGAGGGAGCCCAGGTGTCTGGGGGAGCAGTCACTGAGAGCAGGTAGGGCATGCAGGCTGTAAGGTGCTGGGGGACTCGGGTGGTGGTCAGGAGGCTGTAGAGCCCAGTGCCCCAAACTTGGGAGTCTGTAGTGCAGATGCTGCGCGGAGTCCAGGTGCAGGCAAGCTTGCCGAGGGGGTGCTAGAGGAAGGAGGGGGGCCTGCAGAACATGCAGACCATCGGAGTGACAGGAGGAGGTCGGGGGTGAGCAGTGTCCTGGAAGCCAGTGGTGCCAGGAAGGCCCCTTCAGTAAGGCAGAGGGAAATGGCATAAAGGACTTGGATGTGTGCTGGGGTCATCCCTCAAGGGTGAGCGGACTGGACCACTGAGGGGAAGACTGGGAGGGGCTGAGGAAGTGGAGACCAGACCTCCACGCGTGGAAGCACAGGAGCATGGTTCCTGAGGGCTCTTACCCTCGAAGTGAGAAGCACGGGGGGGGGGGGGGGGGTGTACTGATAAAAAGGCATGCTGAGGACCCAGAAGAGGGGCTGCAGATCAAGAGCCTTCCTGCCCCTCCGCAGAAGCTGAGCACGGACCTGACCGGCATCCTGGGCGTGCTGCAGAGCCAACAGCCTGCCCTGCAGGAGCGGGAGCGCTCCTCGGGCGCCAGCCGCCTCTGCGACCTCTACTGGCAGGCCATGAAGACCCTGGGAGTCCAGTACGTGCCGGGAGGAGAGCCGGGAGGAGAGCCGCACCTTGGGCTGCAGGTGGCCGGGGCCTGCTGCTCACTCCATAGGGGCCTCAGTGTGGGGAAGGGGCCCTGGGCCCCCGGGGTCCTTCAGGACGGCGGAGTGGCCGTCATTGCTGCCTCTGCTGGCTTCTTTCTCACTTGCTCACTTTCTCCCAGGCGCCCCAAGTCAGAGAAGAAAGATGCCAAGGAAGTCCCCAGTGTGACCCAGAGCCCTGTTAGCATGAAGCGGAAGAAGAAGGGATTCTTGCCAGAAACCAAGAAGCGTAAGAAACGAAAGCCAGAGGGTGCTGTGCAAGAGGAAGGTTCCACGCAAGGCGAGGGTGCCAGTCCTGCAGCCACCGCTGGGGACCAGCCCCCCCGCACAGGCAAGAAGAAGAGGAAGAGGAACAAGATGAAGGCCAAGGCGTCCGGCCAGCCCCAGGTCAACGGAACACCTGCTGCCAAGAGTCCAGCCCCAGGCCCCCACGCCTTGAATCCCGGCACCCCCGCCAAGACCCCTAAGCCGCAGAAGAAGAAACAGAAGCTATCCCAGGTGAATGGGACCCCCTCGGTGTCCGTCACAGAGACTGCTGGCAAAAAGCAGCCTCAGAAGGATCTGCTACCCCAAAAGGAGGTCTCTGGCAAGTCACCCCTGTCCCCGCTGCCACGGAAAAAGGCCAGGTTGTCTTTGACCAACCGGAGCCCTAGTCTCCTTCAGGGTGGGGCCAAGAAAAAAGTGCAGCTGAAGAAGGGGAAGAAGTCCTGAACTTGGCCCTGCCCCCCGGCCCCTTCCCCGTCAGCCCTAGAGAACCTATTTTTTCACCATGATTTTAATAAACAAGCTGCTGTCCCTGCTGTACCTCTGGCACTGGGGGGAGCAGGTCTGCTGCCAGCCTGTGGGGGGTGCGCTGCCGAGCCCTTCTCGCTCGTGCCCAGGCTGGGCCTCCCTCTGCCAGCTGGCCTGTTTCTCAGCACAGAGCACAGGCCACTTAACCCGTGAGGGGCGAGGCCCTGGGCTCCCAGGTGGCATGGGCCAGTGTCTGGTGGCCTGGCACAGAGAGACACAGGCCAGTGCAAGCCTACCCACCCCCCCCCCCACACACACACCCCCACCCCCCATGCTTGCTGGTGCAGGTGTGGCCAGGTATGGCCGCGCCTCGTGACCCAGCCCCAGTCACTTTGCTGCAGGAGCCACGGGGCAAGATTTAAATAGGTTTATTTCTTCATTTACAAGAGGAATATATTTGGCTTCTCTCTTAAGACTCTGAGATTCACAATCAGCAGCTCTAAAAAATAAAGGAGCAGTTTGGCTTCCGGAAGGAAGAGGAGGCAACACTGGACCTGGTTCTTGTACAACAAGAAAACATTGCTGGGGCCCCAGTTGAGGCTGGGGCGGAAGTGGAGGCCACGAGGGTCTGAGGGGAGCCCACCCCTGTGTTTGGCCACTCAGGGTGCCCCAGCCTTGTTGGGGAGTAGGCATTCCACTAGCTTGCACGCCACTGAAGCCACGCCAGCCAGTAACTACGGCAGAGCATTGTCAAGCTGGCTCTTGGGGCCCCTGCTGACCACAGGGGCCCAGAGCCACCTTGATTCCAGCAAGTGCGGCGGTGTGTATGGAGCGGGGGAGTGGGCCCCTCCGAGGGGCCCGAGGAGTTGGCAGCTGCATTCTGATGTGGCTGTGAGCGAGGAGCCGTGTGGAAATGTGCATGGGCGCAGCAGCAGCCGGTGTGGGGTGGAGGGGCGCGGGCGTGGAGGCCTCTGCAGGGGCCTCGTCCACCAGACTACCCCCGGGACAGGAAACTCGGTGGATGACCGCTTCCCCTGGCAGCTGGAGCTCTGGCTGCAGCTCCACAGATTCTGGGAACCGTCCCCTGGGCCCTGCCCCTGGAAAAGGCCCAGCCTAGGGGCAGCAGTGTCTTCCTGACTTCTGGGGAAGGGGGGCTGTCAGGGAGAAGATGGCCGACAGAGGTGCTCCAGGGGGTCCAGAGGGCCCTGTGGATCTTCAGCCTGAGGGCACAGGTGGTATGTATGTAGCTGCCACCAGGGCCTTCACCCCTGGCGATGCCAACTCCCTGTCTTGGGGGGTGGCCCCCACCTGGGAGACCTCCAGGCTGAGAGCCAGCCCAGAGCAGGGGAGACGAGTCTTCTGAGTGATCTTCCGGGGACTGTGTCCCCAGCTCTGCCCGGTCAAGTCCAGCGTCCCCGAGGTTGGACACCCACCTGAACGGCTGTGGTGCCCACACACCAGCCTTCCAGGAATCCTCAGAACCTGAAGTGCCGCCCCGAGACCTGAGCCACCCCTTCTTGGTGCAGCCTGGGAGCCGTTGGGTCTTCAAAGCTGCGGACAATGTCTCGCCCAGCAACCTGCGTGGGCGAGTCCAGCCCCCTGGCTACACGGTCTGGGGACGGCAGGGTCCTGCCCAGGACCGCATACGCCAGTGACAGGGCCGGGTCTCCTGATGCACCAAGTGGTGACTGTCTTCTCCGAGGGCCCCAGGGGTTCTGCGTGCCAAGCCCAGAGCCGGGAGTCTGTCCACCCACACGACTCCAGCATCCACTGCCCTCCAGGTTGCTGGCGAGCACAGCCTCTTGGAGCCAGGGCCACTCAGCAGTCCCAGACCAGAGAGGGTGGGAGCCCAGCCGAGGGTCACACAGAAAGCTAAGGGACCGTCCAGGAGGGCCGGCCTGCCGGAGGGCTCCTCCCAGATTAGGGTGGAACAAGTGTTCTTCATTGTCCCTGCGGCACCTAGAGGGAGGGGTCAGAGGTCAGAGATGGGGCTTTGGGAGGGGCGTTTGCTCCATGTTCCTGCTGTTTGACGTTGGCAGGGGCATGTGACAGTTCGGTCTACTGGAGCCAGGAGGTGGGGATAGTGGCTCTGGGTCTTGTGCTGCTGGGAAACCGCAGCCCCCAGAGACCAGGCTCACAGGAAGGTCAAAGTAGGAGTCGGCCCCTGGCACCTCTTAGAATTTGGGAGGACAGAATCCAGGACAGAGCAGGGAGTTCCTGGCCGGTCCCAGCTCTGACCTGTGCCCTCAGCTCTTCAAAGGAAGGAGGAGGGAACTGATTTACTGGAAGAGGGAGGCGGCCCCCCTCCCACAGATCCATCGGTCATTTTGGGGATGTTTCAGGAGGCACAGGACCCAACCCACGGCTGGTGGGACGTGCTCAGGGAGGAAGGGACTCAGGAGGTGCTCCTGCTTCCAGAACCTCCCCTAGGGCCCGACCTGGTTCAGTCTAGAGCGCTCCCTCTCACCCAGCCCTGAGCCTTCCCTCACAGAGAGCCTGCCCTCAGCCCTCTGCCTGCACTCACCACCTTAGACTTTCATGGATGCTGGCGGCATCACCAGTTGATTCACCCTGGGGGAGAGACGGGCGGGGGTCAAGTTGGCGGATCAGCGGGGGCCGGACCCGGGCACTGCTCTGGCACATCGCGTCACGGGGGCCGGCTGACCGGAAGTGCTGGGCAGGGACCTCGTCAGCCCCAGGGGGGGGTGGGAGAGCCCAGGGGTGGGGAGAGGAGAGAAAGAGAGGAGTAAAGAGGAGAGGAGAAAGAAGTCAGAAAATAAGAAAAGGAAGGAGAGGGGTCCCAGCTTTGAAAACCAACTAACTCCAGAAAGAGCCACCAAGAGCCTCAGCCATCAGGGGCTCCCGCCACCCCTCGCCAGTGCTGGGTGTGAGCTGGCAGCAGCATCACGAGACAGCTAGGCCTGGACCCCAACAGCCGAGTGACTGACCCACCCCAGGCAGGCCACCTCCCGCTCCGGCCACCCCAGCCATCGCCGGCCACCCCAGCCAGCGGTCCTCAGCCAGGGCAGCAGGCCCACCCCACCCCCACTCACTGCTGCTCTGCCTTGGCGCGGTCGCTGAGGAAGAAGAGAGCAGTGGCGAGGAAGAACATGCCACCCAGGACCACCACGAAGGGGCACAGCATGAGTGCATAGCCCAGACTCAGGAACTCCCAGAGCGGGGAGTCCTTGGTGCTCTGCCGGATCACGTCAGAGATCTGCGGGAATAGGGGGAGGCGGGGGTGGACGTCGGCACAGGGCCACCTCCTGAAGCCCGACTCCCACCCAGCCCCTCTGCCTCCCAGAGGACTCACAAAGCCGATGAGGTAGGGGCTGCCAGCATCCCCAAGCAGGTGGGAGGTGAAGCTCTGCAGGGCCACGGCGGTGGCCCGCCTCGTGGGGATGACCACATACTGTGGAAGAGGCTGCAGGTCAGAGCCAGAGCAGCGGGATCCCGCCTCACCTCATGCCTGCAGCCCTCCGTTCTCCTCCACCCGTGCACCCTGCCCTGTTATCTTGACACCCCACTCTTGACCTCCTCCATCCAGGCCTCTAACTCATGAGACCGGTTTGCTTAGGCTGTCAGGGAGCCAAGTGCAGTGATCACGGGGAAACTGAGGCCCAGAGGCACACGTTCCTGGAGCCAGGAAGTGCTGGGACCACAACCCTGAATGCCCAGCCTCTTGCCTTTCCTTCCCCCCAGCTAGACCCATCTTGCTTCCCATCCAGGACCTGGCAAGACAGAGGCTGAGTGGGATAGGGGGTGGGGAAGCAGGGCCCTTCCCAGGACCTTCCTCTTTACCCACAGACACCTTCAGGCCCGGATGCCAGGACCCCCTCAGACCCTGTGACCCGCAAGGCTTCGGCTCCAAAACTGGGCAGGCCAAGGTCAGCAAGGGGCAGCAGCCTGTTCAGTGGGTACCCCTGACAAGGCCCCCGCCCCAGGCTCCAGCTGCCTCATCTAATCAAGTGCCAGCCTTTGTGACGGTCTGTGAGAACAGCCAGTGCCTACTGGGCCCCCCACTTTGGAGTGGGGGGGTTGACCTGGATGCGGTGGGATTGCGTGGCCCCATTTGCAGCAATAATTAGTCACTTGGCTGTGACACTTATTAAAATGGGACATGATTTCCCTGGGTCCCAAACCATTGGCAGCTGGGCTGCCCCTGGGGGTAGAGGCCAGGGAGAAGGCCTGCCTGCATCAACAGCAGCTGATACAGACTCCCTCACCCAGAGGGTGCTGTAAGCCCAGGGAGAGGGCCTGCCTGCATCAATAGCAGCTGATACAGGCTTTCTCAGAGGGTGCTGTGACCCACCCAGCCCTGCCATTCACCTGCATATTGCAGTGGGGGACGGGAAGGTGCAGAGGAGCTCCAGTCAGGTAAGGTAGCCTTCCTGCCCCCAGGCCTGCCAAACCCTCTCTCCAGCCTGCTTTCTACATTCCCTCATCCCAACCCTCTTCTGAGACTGACTTGCAGGACCCCCAGGACAGGATCAGGTTATCACCCACCTCCCCATGCCCCTAAATGACTTGAATTTACCAGGGCCACAGCCCCTCCTAGTTCCTCCCAGCCTGCGCCCATCCCTGCCCAGGGACACAAGAGACAGCCCTTTGTCCCTGGCTGGCTGACTGGTCTGGAGCCCATTGTTGGCCCGTGAAGACGGGCTCTGTCCACCCGGCCCAGCCGTGGGCACGCAGCATGCTGGGGGCCCAGCCTGAGCAGGGAGGGGCCGGGTTCATGGAAGCTCAGATCCTGGGGGAGGAGTGCTGGCTGGCAGCACCACCTCAGTGCCAGCCTGGTACTGCCAGTCTCCAGCCACAAACCTGAGCCTCCAGACGTTCCCCCCCCCCTCGTCCCCAGGCCACCCCCACACCCTGCCTACTCACCCTCTGCTATCAGGCTCTGCCCCAAGCAGAACCCAACGTCTCTGTTCCCTCCAAGCTCCGGGCTCACCTTCCCAACATGCCTTCCTTCCCTCCCAAGCCCAAGCCCCACTAGCTCTCCCACCTCTTCACCCATCTCCCCAGCTGCCCCAAAAAATCAAGATGCCTAGGTCAGCACGAGGCAACCATGGCCTGCCTCACCATGAGGATATCCGCGGTGATGGCCCAGTTAGAAAACAGCAGTGTCTCTCCGACGAAGATACAGATCTGCCCAGGAGAGATCAGAGTGACCGTCGGGGCCTGCCACCCACCCCCACCACCGGCCTGGGCTGTCCCCCATACCCTGCCTGCTGGCAAGGAGCTCCCCCACCCCAAGCATCCCAACTGCCTCTGGGACCTGCATCTCCTAGCAGTCAGGCTCACAGGGATTTGCGGACCATCAATGAGTTTCAAGCCTTGCCCGCCCAGAGCCCTGGGCAGGCCTGAAAGACACCCAGAGCCCTGAATGGGTCCTGGACAGAAGAGGGGCAGGCAGAGGACTGCCATCTCCTGGGGGCAGGAGGGTCCCACAAGTCAGGCAGCAGATCTGCTTCCAGGGCCCAGGCCTGGACCCTCCACCCCCAACCCTTGCACATCCCCATTGCACTCACATAGGCCCCCACAATGCTGCTCTTGGCAGCCACGAAGATGAGGCAGATGAAGATGGCAGAGCCGAGCATGCCCACCGCACACACCAGGGGGTCTGCCCGCTGGGTCCGCAGGCGGCACCAGCGCGTGGCTCCTGCCCCCGTGACCACACCCAGAAAGCCCGTAAAGCAGGTGATGGCCCCGAAGATAAGGCTGTGGGGACAGAGGGCAGTGGGCGTGGGTTGGAGGGGGCTGAGGCTGGGGGGGAGGAGCCCGTCCAGCACCCCACCCCCCAACCCCTCACTCCTGCCCACACGGCCAGGCCCCACCTGTCCTTGGCCCCACACGGTGGGCTGCCGCATGTCTCTGCTGTCTTCTGCACAACTTGGGCACGGTGCAGGTAGAGAGGGATCCACATGCCCAGGGCCCCTGTGGCGAAGGACACAGCCGACGTGGCCAGAGAGGAGAAGACGTAGCTGCGGCTAGGGAGAGGTCAGGACAGTGACGTGAGCGGGGATCCCACATGTTAGGGCCCAGGAGACTGCCTCTTCTCCATCACACCTTGCCCGGGGACAGGCGGCCTCAAATGCCTGCCCCTAAGGGCCCTGGGGTGAGTGTTCAGACTGCAGGCCAAACATTAGTGGCCAAAATGCCACTCCCAGCAGAAAGCAGGGCTCTGGGAGGGCTGCCCCAGGAAGGGTCCCCGCATCTCAGCACTCTCCCTCCAGCAGATCGACCCCTCCCGAGAGCACTCACTTGCGGATCAGGGCCTTCATGTCTCGGAGCCATGAGGTCCTTGCCTTGAGCTGCCCCCCGAGCTGGTCAGCGTGGCCTCTCTTAGTGGTGGGGACCAGGACAAGGATGAGCGTTCCTGTGATCATGCCCAGGATGGGAGACACCTGGTGGGCAGGCAGCACAGCATTAGGCATCCGGCCCAGCGGTTGCTTCTGCTGCACCAGGAGGGCGCACAGGTTCTGTGCAGCTTTCCCACTGCCCCGCCAGCAAAGCCTCTGGGCATGAGGGCAGCGATGGGTTTGGGCTGTTGAGACCAGGGGCAGGATGGGTGGTGGCACTGAAGGGAGGGATGGATGATCAGACAGAAGGAGGGATGGATGGACAAGTGGCTGGATAAATGTATAGAGAGGTGGATGGGCAGAAAGAGGATGGATGGATGGATGGATGGATGGATGGATGGATGGATGGATGGATGGATGGATGGATGGATGGATGGATGGATCCATGCATCCATGCATCCATGCATGGACAGACAGACGGATGGACGGGTGGGTGTTTGGGTGGACAGATGGATGGATGGATGGATGCATGGACAGATGGATGGACGGTCAGATGGACAGACGACAGACAGATGGGTAGGCAGATGGAAAAGAATCAGGTAGATGGACAGAGATGGATGACTGAGATTGGAGAGAGAGTTCCTGGGGACAGGGAGTCAGATACCAGCCCTGCTCAGCATCCTGCAGCTGGGAAAGTTCCCAAGCAAACTCCTCACCCTGGGGAGAGCACCGGGAAGGGACAGCTGAGCATGAAGCTCCCAGGTGGTAAAGCAGGTGGGCTATCACTTGGAAGGAGTCTGTCCCAGGAGAAGAGAGCCTCAGAGGCCTTTGCATGCTCCCTGTATCCAGCCAGAGTAAGAAGCAGAATCTCCAAAGCACCAGGCCTCGTTCCTGATGAGCGGGGCGTTTTGACAGACTGGACTCCGAGATCCCAGCCCCCGCACTAGCTCATGAGAACAGAGTAAGCTGTCTCCCACCCCACCAGATCTGGGAGCCCACAGACTGGGGAGTTCCTCTCCAAGTGCCCCTTCACCCCCATCAAGAAATTCCACGGAGGCTGCTTCCTTCCTGCTTTTGAGGAAAAAACACTTTGTCTTAAGCTTCCGCTTCTCCACGAAACTGGGGATCTCTGTTTCCTCTGATTGCACTGTCCAGGGGCCTTGGCAGCCTTGCCCCAAATCCTCCCTTGGGGCGGGAAGTGGCCTCAGACCCCAAGGGCCCCACACAGAGGCCTTGTCTCAGCCTCAGCCAGCACCGGGCCTGGGGTCAAAGCAGGAAGCTCCAACATGGACATGGAATTTCCTGACCCCGTGGGAGTGTCCTTCATCCTCTCAGACTGAGGGTCCCCTGGAGAGGGGAGCTGAGTCCGGCTCCCTCCATACCTGGTCCCCCAACACCCAACACTGACTTATGTAGATGAGCCCAGGCCCTTGAGGTGGGACGCTTAGCCTGGGCAGATTTGGGGATGTCCTTACCCGCAAGGCCCAGTGCCAGTCTCCGGCCGCCTGCTTCACACTGGAGCCAGTGATGTAGCCCAGGCCGCTGGCGAGAAGACAGGCACAGTCAGAGAGCCCCCACCCCCACCGCACAGCCTGGGCTGCAGGGCAGGTCCGAGGCTCAGCCAAGGCAGGCCACATGCATGGGTAGGCCTCAGAGGGGCCAAACTTCAGGGTGAGAGGGAGGGCAGAGGTCCAGGGTGACCTTAACTGGATCTTCAGCCCAACCCTGGTGTCCCGGGCTCTCACCTGCCCAGCGGGATGGCGAAGTAGAAGACAGACAGCATGAGCGTGCGGGTGTTCTTGGTGAAGAGATCACCGATGATGGTGGGTGCAATGGTGGAGTAGCTGGCCTCTCCGATGCCCACCAGCCCCCGAGACAGGACCAGCAGCCAGAAGTGCTGAGGAGGAGAGGAGACAATGCTGGGTGCTGCTAATCCTTGGCCCCCACTCTGCCCCCCACTCCTGCAGAGCCCAGACACTGGAGCTTAACCTGTGCCTCACCAACGATAACGCCCTACTGGTCAACCTGGGCCTCAGTTTCCCCCTCTACAGAGTATGTGTGATTGAATCTGGTTAGCCCAAGGCCGGGATATGTCTTTTACAGGTTGAGAGTCAGCTCATACTGTCCTCATAAGCACAAGGAACCTAAGTTGGGTCTCCATATCCGTCCCCTCTCCCCAATTGGGAGACAGCCTTTCTGGGCTCTGAACCCACCTTGGGAGCTTCTAGCCACTCTTCCCTTCTCTGTCCCTCCCGCAGGCGGGGCAGTTGTGCTGACCCTAGCAGCACTGAGGAACCTGGTGTGAGTGGGGAGTGGGCAGGGCAGCCCGTGGTTTCAGTGACCCTTCCCCATGCCCACATCAAAGAGAAAAGCCCAGCCGAGCTGGTTAGGATGAGGCCATGCCAGCTGCCGGTGGAAATGCCCCTTTGATGTGGACCTGGCTTCTCTGGCCCCCCAGCTGCCCAGGGCCTGAGAACCCAGCCTGGCCATCTTTCCCCAGCCCCACCCTGACCACCCATCCGGCCAGTGTCACTCACACCCAGTCCTCCTCCAGTTCTCTCCGCTGTCCTTTCTGTCTTCCCATCGCTTTCCCAGCCCTGTCCCTGCGTCGCCCGTTGTCCACCCAGCTCTATGCCTCACACTTCTGCAACGAGGACACTCTCTCACTCTGCCCATCTCTGGGTCTTCCCCCAGCTCCTGGCCTCTGGTCTGTTTCTCTTCCTGGGAATCATCTGTCCACAGCCTTTGTCTCGTTCTGATGGGCTGTTTATCTTTCTTGTGTTGATTTATATCACATTAACTTTTTGTGTTTTGTGGATATTGGTCATTTATTACACATGTCACAAATATTCTTGTCATCTTTCTTTGTTTTGTTTGTAGGGCGTTTCACCATACAGACAGATTGTTTTGTTTAATTTGATGCTATCAAAGCTGCTGATTTTTCTCTAATGGCTTCTGCATTTTTTATCTGGCTCGAGAAAGCCTGCTCGATCCCAAGATGATAAAATATTCTTATCATTTATGTTGTAGCTTAGAGAGAGAGAACAAGAATGGGAGGGACTTTGTAACCGTCCCTCAATACCAGAGCAGCAGATGCGTGAAGTCCTCACTGACGGGATTCTGGCTTCCTCCCTCCTGCCCTAGAAACTTCTCTCCGGCCTTTGCTGAGACTGTGACTGTCTCTGCCTTTGCTTGCACGTACAAGGACCAAGGACCACCACTTAGCGTCTCCTGCATGCTTGTGCAAAATGACCATTAAAAGGCCATTCCACTCCTTAGATCCTGAAACCTGCTGCTTTCACTCTTATTTCTTGAAAACCCACTTCTGCTGGTTAACATAGATCAAGTTCATTCTTTACTATCAGGAAACTCAGAGTAGGAGTGCACCCCATTTTACCCCGGGCCTCCTCTCCCATCGTCGTCATTTAAATTGCCTCCCTTTTTCCTGTGACAGGACTGCCGTGAACACCCTCACACACATGTCTCCCTTCATGCTGCAGTTAGAGTTTCTCTCTTGGGTATGTACCTCGAAAGCAGAAGGCTGGGCTGTGGGGACATACAGTTAGAATTTTACAGAATCTTGCCATTTTGCTTCCAAAGAGGATCTGCTAATTTACACTGCCACCCGCAGCTTTAATCACACTTGGTATTGTCAGCTTTTTTAATTGTTGCGAATGGGATGGGTGTGAAGTGGTGTCTCATTGTTGTTCTAACTGTTCTAACTTGCATCTTCCTGATCACCCCAGTGGCCGAGCATCACCTCTTACATTGGTTTGGGCATCTTCTGGAATCCCCCATCCCTAGCCTTTGCTCAGCTTCCTACTAGGTTATTGATCCTTATTGATTTACGGCTCCAGGTTTGTAGAGTTTACTTTTTTTACTTTCACCTATCTGGGATTTATTTCGAGAAATGTTTTGAAATACAAACCAGACTTCATTTTTGTTTGAGAGGGCTAGTTAATTTTCCCAAAACCATTCATCTGATGCAACTTTCATGCTATATTTAATATTATAGGAAGGAAGACACTGTTTTATTGATCACTTAGCCTTCTACTATTTTAGCTAGAAAAGCCATATTGTGATAACAGATAGGGTAAGTCCCTTCTCATTGTTATTTTTCACAATGTTCTTGGCTGTTCCATGGCATTTTCTCTGCCAAATTAACTTCAGAATCACATCACGAAGGTCCACCAAAAACCCCCGTGAGACTTGGATTGTGAGTGCAATGAATTTATAGGTTAATTGGGGATGATATGTCCTTATCTCTCTCTGCCTCTGCTAATCTTTCCCTATCTTCCCCTTTCTCTGCCCCCCGCCCCACACACACACCCACACACACATACTCAGAGAGGGGCCCAGTCCTGACATCATGGTTCTGGATTTACTGAGAACATCCCAGTAGTCAGAAGACAAGGGGCCTGGCCAAGAGCAGACAAGGCCCATAGGAGCCCTGGAAGCTTCTGATCCAATCCCCATTTTTTACTGTAACTCTACCTGACAGTCAGAGCCAGCAGTTTACGTGACCATCCTCCGTCCTCCGTGAAGCAAAGTTGTTCCCCCAAACTTGCGATTCTCTCTGCCCTCACCTCCAGTCTCCCTTTGATCAGTGTAAGTCGGAACAACCTTCAGACCCTTCCAGGTTCAGCACTGTCCTCAGGAGGATACCCATGCTGAGGACTCTGCATGAGCTGGTCCTGCCTTCTTCTCCCGCCCAGATGCTCGCCTCCCTGTTCTCTCAACACTCTCCCCCTTTTCTACATCCACAGATTTGCTCCAGCTACCCGTGCTGTCTTCACCAAAAGGGCTGTTTATCCCACCTGCCCATCTCGAATGCCAGCTCCCCCAGGACGCCTCCCCTGACCCCATGGACTTTAAGAAACTGCTCTCTTTTCAGTGAGGACTCTCGGCACTTCGCAGCTCTTGAAGACTCTGAGGGGGTTGGGGGGAGGCTCCTGTCTCATTTTCCCACCCCCACCCTCGGTGCTCCCAAGGACAGGACAGGGGTCTCCTCATTTGTCTCCTAGGCTGAAAGTTCCTTGAGGATATATTTTTGCTTTTCTCACTTCTCCTCTAACTCCTTTCACACTAGCCAGATGTGATTGTCCTTCCTCTGTTTGAACAACCCTGATGATGGGAAACTCACTACCTAACAAGCAACCTATCTCCTCTCTGAAAGAAAGAACAGAAATAACAACTGATTGACCATGTGTCTGGGGATCCATTAGCTCAATTGTCTTTCTCAAGCTGAGTGATAAAATCCCATTTTAAAGATGAGGAAACCGAGGCTCCATGAAGTTGAGTAAGTTTCTCTAGGTCACAAAACTGAGGGGACAACAGAGTTGGGGAAACCCAGTAAAAAACATCTACTTTACGTTGAGCTGATGTTTACTTCCCTGGGATGCTGACCCAAGAAGCTAGCTGACCGCCAAAGAGCAACCTAGGTGAGAACAAGAGAGGGCCTGTGTGTCCCTAGGCCCAGGACTAGAGTCAAGGGTCCCGACCTCTGGGCCAGACTTGCTCCCTCAGCCCCTGCATCTTCCCCATATCGGAGCCACTCAGAAAGAAACAGGAGGCCCTAGGGGGCTGCAAGTCCCTGAGCTCAGGCCAGCGTGAGGAAGGCCCAGCCTGCGGGTGTATTTATAAAAGTGTCCAGACACCACCCCCTTCCCACTGCACCAAAGACACCATTTGGGCCTGTCACAACTAGGACAGGCCTAACCACCCACTGGAAGGGCCAGGCAGGGTGCTGGGTGGGGAGCCTGGGCAGGCCTCACCTGCTGGGGGATGAAGGAGCTGGAGAACGTGACTGCTGACCAGAAGAAAATGCCGCAGCTCAGGATCACCTTCCTGTTGAAGCGGTCTCCCAGATAGCCAAAGATGGGAGCGGCCACCATGAAGCTGCAGATGAACACTGCGCGGGAGAGGAGAGCTTGAGGGGGTGCCGTGTCCCTGGGGCCCAGCCTGCTGGCCCGTGAGCCTCAGCTGGAGGTCAGTGCCAGCGAGACAAAGGTCAGGCTGGGCCCCGAGCTGAGGCTGCAACTGGAGAGGGGCGCCTTGAGTCAGGCCTGGGCCCGGGGGAGCAGGAAAGGCCCTCAGGTTAGGGTGACTACACCATCGTTTTAATGCTTGTCCAGTTTGTCCAGTTTTGGGGTGAGCACTTTGGTACTTTTTAAAGGAGAATAGGTATAGTTACTGAAAGCTTTCTACAGGCCAGGAGACGTGCTAGGGGCTCACCACACAGTGTCCTGTGTATCTTCCCAACCCCTATCCCAACTCCCAGACGGCAGAACTAAGTCACAGAGAAGTGACTTCCAGGTCCCACGGCAGTAAATGTCCCTGTGGGGATCTGACCCTCTATCTGTCGGACTCCAGAACCAGTGCTCCTTTTACTTTGCCGCACGTCTGGCCTTAGAGATTCAGACAGCGATTCAGAGAGGGGAAAGGACCTACCCAAGGTCACATAGTAAATCAGAGCAGCCCTGGGTCTGGTGCCCCAGGTGTCATCACACAGCTGCCCTCGCTCTGGGAAGCTCCAGAGGCTTCCCTTCCATCTGGAAACACTGCCATTCTTTCATCCACTCAACAAAACAAGCAAAACTGTCTGCCCTCTTGGAGTTTTCACTCTAGCGAGAAGAAACAGCCAATGAAATAAAAAGTGTAGTTTGTCTGATGATGACAAGTGCAAAGGAGGATAAAAGGGCAGGAACAGGAGATGGGAAATCGGTGTGAGAGAGAGAGAAAACACAGGTTACAATTTGAAGTAGAAGCATCAGAGAAGGTGACATGTCAGCAAAGAGCTGGAATGAGAAAATAGATATTGAAGCTAGGCCCTGTGGCAGGAGTGTGCTCCGTACATCTGAGGAGCAGCAGAGGACAGAGTAACTAGAAGAGAGGAATGGCGGGAGCCAAATGGGGAAGGCCTTGCGGCCATGTGATGACTGTGCTTCTACAGGTGAGAAAGGATAACAGAGGATGCTGAGCAGAGGTGTGACATGACTTGGTTTTGTTCTTGCAGGACAGGAGAGTGACTGAGTCTTAGTGGAATCTGTGGAGATGCACCAGCCAGTGATGAGAAGGGCTTGGAAGAGCCCAAGTGGGATGAAGAGGCCCAGAAAGACCGAGCAGGTCACATGGCGAGGCAGCCCGCATTCTCCACCCTGGAACACAGTCCCACAGCTGACTGGCAGATGGCCAGACAAAGGCTGGGGATGGGCAGACGAGGTGACCAGTTGGCCGGCCCCTGACCACCCGGCTGAATATGTACACGGGTTTGCTGCTTCTTACAGGCCTGAGTCCCTGGGGAAGACAGGACTGGAAGAAAAATAAGAGGGAGGGGCAGTAGAAGGTGAGGAAGAGCAAGGGGAGGGGGCTGGGCTGGAGAGGGTGACTCTGCCACTCTCATCCGTTGGACAGCCAGCGTGGGTGGGATGAGGTGATTGTTAATCTTGGCTGTGAGTGGGGCCTGGCAGACTAAGCACAAAGCTAGGCACTAGAGAAACACTACCAGGGCTCAAATCCAGCTCTCTTCCATCCCACTCAGTGACCTTGGGCACTTCACACCCTCTCTGTGCTAACAGGTGACCTGTGCTCAGGTCAATGGTGTGCTAACAGGTGTTTAACAATAACTCCCCCTAAACAAAAGTGGTGTGTAGTGTGTACCAATTTCTGTAGTATAAAATTGGTGTAATTTAACAGTGGTCTAAATGCCCCTACTAGGATCTCAAGCTACCCACATGTCTGCGGTCAGATTTACAATGATGGGATAGATAGCAGTCAGACATTGTATCTAGCCATCCTACAATTACAGACAGATGTAAAAAGCCTTCAGAACACAAATAATGGTAACATGGAGAGTTAGGGAATGATGAATTTTGAGCATCTATTACCTTTGTTTTTAAACATACATTGTTCAATTATGAGTTTATACCATTTAGTTCTCCATAGTGGTTGTGTTTAACAACTAGCTCACATGACTCCTGAAAATTCAACAATTGACTCTCAGAGGCTGGTCTAAGCCTGTTCCAGTGCTGAAACTTCCTCATGTGTAGAATGTAGATAAAAATAGCAACTCCCTGGGCACTGAGGCTGGGTGAGATAATGTGGGTAAGGTGTTCCAGGCCACACCCCACAACAGAGGCCGGCTGAGTCCCAGCCTCGGTCAACACGGGCTCTTGTTTAGATTAGTCAAAGCAGTTATTTCCTCACATCTCGAGAAAGAATTTTTCCTGTGGAGACTGCCTCCCAAAGCCAAACTGGTATCCAGTCAGGATTTGGGCAAGAAAGATTTGGGTCTCCTAAGGATCTAACACATTAGTAGGGCTAGAAGTCACCTGCTGTCTGACCATTGTGGAAACTGACTTAAAGGATTCAAATGCCAAAGAACCAGGAAAGAGGGCCAAGTTCTGCCAGGATAGAGAGGGAGGTTTTATGGAGGCAGAGATGTCAGAAGTGGGCATTGAAGGATGCATAGGAGTTTGCTATGATGACAATACGTGAAATCAAGATTATATATTCAAATATAAATTGAAAATCCTATAAGCAATACTGTATAGTTGTTAATGAGGCATAATGTTTTTTTGCTAATAATAACTGCTGATCCTTTATGGAGCATTTATTATAGGCAGGACCAGGGAAGGGCCCTGACATGATTACCTCATTTGATTCTCACTATTATCTTCATCTTTCAGAGGAGACAATAGAGGCTGAAAGAAGTGACATCACAGTTAGTGTTGGCTGGGCCAGAATTTAAACCCCAATTTGTCTGACGCTAGAGTCCTTGCCCTAAATCACCCCGCAGGTGCAGACTGCCAGACAGGGAAGGGAGAAGGCCCCAAGTGTTCGCAAGGTCAGAAGAAGTTCAGGGTGTGTCAGTGATGGCAAGAAGCATCAGGCTACAAAAAGGGAAGACTCAGTGGCAGCTGAGGCCCCGGTGGAGAGAGCCCCAAGCCCTAGGACCGGCTGGCCTTTTAGCTGGAGGGCAGTAGAGAATGTTCTGTTCTCTTCCTGCAAGGGGGAGAGCTAGAAAGTCCCCACTGAGTGGCGAAGGATGGGAGCACTCAAGGAAGGTCTTGGTCAGCTGAAAGCTACCATGCCCCCATACCAGGTCTGTCGACTTTACAGCTCAGGACACGGAGAGGTGGAGGGACGAGCCCGAGTCACAGCCAGGCAGGGCCCCCTGGATCACCGCCTGCCCTGCAGTGCCTTCCTTTGGGACAAAGGCCTCCGCGGTCAGGCTGGAGTCCCCAACTCATCTTTGAAGTTCTCTGCTCTGCTGGGAACAGAAGAGAGAACCTCTCCAGGCCATCGGGGATGTCCCAAGATGGGGTGGGAGGCTGATGAGGCCAGGAGGCAACAAAGCTAGAAAGAAAGAAAGCTAGAAGCTTCCCTGGCTCCTCCACCCCCATCCTGCAGTCTTTGTTTGTTGGACAAGAGCTTTCTGGGCAGACTGGCTGCCCCACCTCTGGTCTCGTTGGGAGTGGCATTCCCAGCAGTTCCCACACGAGGACATCCTGTGGTTGCTGTGGGGAAGCCCTCACTCAGCTCACGTGTGCTGAGCCCACAGCCAGGGACAATGGAGCTGTGGGCAGGGAGCCAGGGCACAGGGGCAGAGCTTAATGCAGGGTGGGAGGGGCTGGAACCATGACTCCCAGGAGACCCTAGGCCTGAACCTCACTCCTGCCTCTGTAGAACAGGCGAAGCCCCCTCCTCACAGGGCTGACAGAGAAGAAGAGAGGGCTGGGTAAGATCCCCAAGGGGCTGTCCACCTCTCATGGCGGTCCCTGGGCTCAGTGTGTGGGCTGAAGACTTTCTCCCCTATGGATCCTGAGAGACCACTATACAAAAGCTCAGAACAACTTCCCCTGCAGGCTCTGGGTTCCAGAACACTGCCCCCCTGTCTCCACCATCATCATGGGGCTCCTGAGCCCAGAAGGTGGTCCTAGAGTGGGACCTGACAAGGTGTGATCTGGGGGAGCCTGGGCTTCCCACATGGTGGCCTTGGAATCCACATACAGCCCCCACCTTGGTCTGGCTTGAACCAGGACTATTTTTACAAAGTCCAGATCTGACCGACTGTTATTTGGAGAAGACTCACCAGCCTCCACATCCGGTGCAAGGGTGGGTACTGAGGCCAGTGTGGGGCTGGCGGGTGCAGGCACGGCCTGAGTATCCTTCCTGCCCACCGGATGTGGAGGGTGACCCGGCCAGCCAAGACAGAGGGCAGGACACACAGGCCCCCTTGGCGCCTGAAAGCCCACTGTGCTCAGAACTCCTATAGGAAGAACGGGAACCATGCCAGGGCAGGATCTAAGCCCTGGGCTGGTCCTTTCCATCTCACAGGGAGAGAGGTTCTCGGGCCTCCCCTCTGACAAGATGGCCCTGGAGGGCTGGACACGAGGTCTGCCCAGTTTTGCTGCTGCCTTCAAAACCCAAGTCTGTCAAAGTGGAAGGATATTTCTGGGCCAGCCAAATTGGGGAGGGGAGCGAGGCCAGAAGCAGACAGTTCCAAAGCAGAGGTGCTGTCTGGTTTCAGTCTGAGCTGGCTCTTCCTCTGTCCAAGTGCTCCCCTTCTCGCTCCCCACCACTCGCCCTGACACTTCCTCGTGGCTCCACAAACCCCATCTCCTCTGCCATTCATTCCTACTCAGCCACGGTGACCACCCTGATGCACACATCATACCGGGATCTGTCCTGCTCCAAAACCTTCCCTGGCTTCCTGCGACTGCAGGACAGAATCGATGGCTTTCACAGCAGGCCACTCCTGCTGTCGGTCTCTTCTCCCTGTTCTTCCCGTAGCCCAGGCATGGCAGGGCCAGCCCGTAGCACAACCCTTTCCCTGAGTTGCATCTGTGCTGATTTCCTCCATCCTTCTTCTAATTTGCATAGTTTCTCTTCAGCTGGGTCTAATCAAATTCACTCATCCACTTGTTATAAATAAATTTTTTAATTCTTACATTTTTCACTTCTGGAATTTTGAAAAAGAATCTTTTTCTTTTGAAATAATGTGCTATTCCTATCTTTAAAGTCCACCCTTATAATGCTCTGAAAATCATCCCTCTGAGATGAGTCTGTTCTTCCCTGTCATTCTGTAGGAGTTGGTTTCACTATTGTCCAGGCTAGTTGACTCCCACTCACGGAGGTGGGCACACTAGTGAGCTTTTTTGTTTTGTTTTTAAGATTTATTTATTTATACATACCAGAACTGAGGTACAGGCCAGAGATGTGAGGGAGGGGGTGAGAGGATTCACCAGAGATAGAGTGGGGAGCAGAACAGGCAGATTGACTGAAATGCACTGCTGAGGGGAGCAGTGGGCAAGGCAGAGAGGTCTGCTGTGCCATGTGGGTCAGCTCCCTGGCCAGGGATCAAATTCATACCGCAGTGGCTGCTGGTAGCCTCATAGTGCTGCGCTTTAACCCCTTGCAACACCAGGGTGACCTTTGTGAGCTCATTTTGAGTTTGAGTTTGTCTTCAACATATTTGCCTGTACCATGTAGACTCTGAATCAAAAAGGCTTCTCAGGGCCTCCCTGTTGGTGCAGGGGTTAAAGTTCTCAGCACTGTCAAGATATCACCAGTCACTGTAGCATGAGTTCGATCCCCAGCCAGGGAGCTGACCCACATGGCACAGCAGACTTCCCCTGTCTCACCCACTGCTCCCCTCAGCAGTGTATTTCAGTGTATCTGCCTGTTGTATTCCCTATCCTGTCTTGGTGAATCTTCTCATCTCCTGCACCTCTGACCTGCACCCAGGTTCTTGTACATATACATACATACAAAAAATGTTTTAAATGACTTCTCAGAGAAGCCATTTTGGATTCATCTCTGCTGGGGCTCCACTAGCTCTCTGCCCAAAGCCAAACAGGGAGGAGAATTCCACCCATATAAGGAACTTCACCAGAAAAAAACTGCTCACCAGCATGGGAGCACACCTGAAATCAGGAAACTCGTCCTGGTATCTAGATTGAAAGTGAGTCACCCAAGCTAGTGTTGCCCAATCCTCAAAGCAAAGAAATCCGTGAGCCTAGAAACCAGGCCAGACTGGGGATGCTTTGATGAATCTGGGTGACTGAGCCTGGGCTTTGCTATACTCTTCTCGCTCTACTTCTTATGTGTGTCTAGATTTTTTTCATAATTTAAAAAATGTTTACATTCAAAATACTGTAACAGGGCCCTCCCTGGTGGCACAACGGATTAAAGCACAGCACTATGAAGCTATCACAGCCACTACAGCATGAGTTCGATCCCCGGTTGTGGGGGAGACCCACATGGCGTGACAGACCTCTCCTGACCTGCCTGCTGCTCCCCTCAGCAATGTACTTCAGTTGATCTGACTTTTCTGTTTCCCACTCTCTCTCTGATGAATCCCTTCACCCCACCCTCTCCCTCAAATCCCCCCCCCCACACCTCTGGCCTGTACAGCAGTTCTTGAATACATAGATAAATAAATCTTTTTTAAAAAATACTATAATAAGCCTCTTAGAAATATACTTGTTCCCTCCGCATCACTTGGCTTCAATGTTAGCTCTCACTCCAGTTTTTGAATTCAATTCTTTTGTTTCTCCACCTAGAAATTTCCCTGATAGCTTTAGCTTTCAGACACAGCTGTGCAATTTAAATATATTCTTGGCATATTTTAGCCAGCATGGAGGGGAAGGAGGGTTTCTCACATTCACTTCATATGACAAACTGACTGGAAGTCAGTTTGCCCTTAACAAACTCTAGCTCACCCATCAAAGCCCCACTCAAATGTCCCTCCTCCAGGAACTCTTCATCTGCCACCAGACAGAGACAGTGGGTCTATTGCTATCATGCCCCTGAGCTCCCACTGTTCTCCCTGTGCCTAGATGGGGGCTGGACACGCTTTCTGTGTGTCAGGTAGATTCAGGGACCTACCTGAATGCAAGGGGTGTTAGCATGGGGCCTGCCAAGCAGCAGGTCCAGTGGCAGCTGCCACTTTAGGTGTAGGTAATGGTGGCTCCTGACTTCCCAAAGTAGCAAGACCCAAAGCTTTAATCCCACTGGGACTTCACAGAGACTGAGCTCTGGCCACTGCAGGTGCCTCAGGGATTGGCTCAGAGCTGACAGCAATCTGCAAGGGGGGCGCTGAGAGAAGGCTTTTCCCAAGCCAGCCCTCATGCTACGGTCCCAAGGGGAAACAGCAGGGGCAGGCCCAGGCCTAACCCGAAGCTACCCCCCACTCTGTCTCCTGGCCTGGCAGCACACAGTGCCCACAAATAAGCAGGCAACCTTGCTCTCAGCCCTGGCCCTTTGATCTGGGCAAGCACCAACACCTGGCTGGCGCCCTCCACCCGGCTCCGACCTTATCAGGGCTTGGAGAAGAGACAGGTGCCTGGGGCTCAGGCCAATTAGGTGATTGGCCTGCCTGCCACTGAGTCACATCCTGGTCTAGCTCTCTTGGCTCAGATGGCTGAGGGGTGAGGACACTCTGAGGAGCCAAGAGTAGATTTTAAGACGGAGGCCTTGACATACGGACTAGAGGATCACTAGGGTGCTGGCAACTCTCACCAAGGCCCAAGGCCCAGAAGCACCTCCACTGAGGACAGAGATGTCAGGCACACAGACCCCTGGGATAAGGCTCGCTCATGCCACGGCAGCCTGTGCCCTCCCCAAGCCAAGAGGTCAGCACATGGAGGTCCAAATTCTGGGTCCTTATTCTATCACCAGAGATCTTAAGCAAGTCATTTCCCCTCTCTTGACCTCTGTCCCATCGTCCAGAAAGTGAAATTGGCAAAGGGAGCTTACAGGAGGAAGAACCAAGAAGATGATGCCTAGGGGTGATTTGCCCACTGCCAAGAGCCCCAGATTGGTGGGGACTGCAGGGACTTCTCCCTCTTGGCCAAGTCAGCAGCCTGGGACCTACCCACAACAACTGTGACCCTCCAGGCCTGCACATCCTCTCTCTGAGCTGCACTGGCCACTCTCAGTGGGGGGTGAAAGAGGAGGTAGGGACAGAGCCTCACTACTGAGCAATCAGCCAGGGGAGGCGCTCAGGATTGCCCCCCCTCCCACCCCCACCC